CACTAATATTTAGAAAAGGAAACACGCATGCGCATATCGGTAAAAAATCTTTCCGAAACTATGAAAATGCCATTATCAATTATAATCGTAAAAGGAAATTAAATAAACTTTAATTTTTTTAGTGGTGAACCCATAAAAGGGAGACTTTTGACGTTCAGAATCGTTTAAAAGATAATTAGATTAATCCCACTTAAAAAAAAAAAAAAAAATTGGTGTGGTGAATAGTCTGGATACTCTTCCGATTAATGTATATATAATTTATGATAATTTCAGCTCAAACATTCAGAGTTGAAAATTCATCATGACAAAGAAAGATAAGAATTCGTAGCGTTCAAGAGGTTTAAGCTCGTGTCGGAAATTTTGAGATGAGAAAATTTCATTTAAAATCATATATACGTTTCTGTACTGTATATACTCATTCATCTTCTTGGTTGGCCGAAACATTGTTGTTGCTGAGTATAAAAGTCCGACTGGAAAAAATAATTGGGCTAATCTCAGTGTATATAAATTTTTTAAACAATGCTTTTTTAAGTAATGAAGAAAATGAATTACTAGACTAGAGTTAAGTATTCTAGCTCTGAAATAGTCCTATCGAAAAACAATAAAAATTCTGATGTTTTTGATAAATTAAAATTCAAAGTCTTTCCGCTTGGGTGCTTTATTTTTTTTATTTAAAATAAAATAATAATCTGTTTTAATTAAATTTTTCTAGTGCCAATAGTTTTTCATAACAAAAGCGATTGTTGTTACTGCAACATTGTTTTTATAAATCTACAAATCGTGTTGCTCTTGGGGAAGGCGCTCCTACTTCATTCGAAACAGTTTTGACTTAAGGTTGTCTTCTAGATTGGCTGCCAAACAAGGCAGGCTGTGAAAGAAGGTATAGTTTCCCGAGCGTATCAATACAATATTAAGTGTAAGTGTATTAGCGAGTTGGGATTTGAACTCGGCACATCGAATCCGTTTGGTAACTGTTGTCGAAGTCGCCTCCGGATTCTTGTAATATTTTTTTTACATTATATCACTTCTTTTATATCTTCCATTTTCTCCTTTGTTTTATTTTATTTTTAATTTTCGCATTATCGCAAGTACTTGATTATCAGAAGGAAACTGGATACATAATTAAAAAAAATACATTTAATGGTACAGAACAGTAGCATTTCAACTTCTTTCTACGTTCCTCACAGCAATGACTTTAACCAAATTGAATGTCTGTTGGTAAATACAGAATACGAAATTGAAAATGAATAATAAAAAAGTAATTCATTATTCACTTGTTTTTTTAGGGGGCTCCAGATATGTACATACCAATGGCACTACATGTTAGTATAAAATCGACTTTGTTTTTTTCTAGAGATATTTTCATAGCATTTATTCTAATACATCTCTCCTCCTAGGTAACTTCGACCGCATGAATTTCAGCGTACTATTCGACTGGTAATTAGGTCTCACTGTTTGAACTAGCTAGATGTAAGTTCTCTTCTCAGAGTTTCCTTTCTCGCACTACTTATCCGAGGAAATCTCTTCCTACTTCTTGTTTTCAACCACAGACTGTCTTCAAAAATATAAATGCAAAGTTGTCATATACAAAGAAAATGAGTAACCACCAACACCCAGATTCGAGCGTGACACTCTGGATTTAAGGATATATTTTTTCCACCAAGTGTATAAATAGCGGTGTCAGGCTACTGACTGCGGTGATCATTAGGTGTTTCTTGAGTGATTATTGAATGGAACTATCCAGTCGAATTAGTGTGAATTATTGTGCGTCGATGAGTTGGGTTTTGATTTAGTATTTACCAAACGTTAAGCCGAGCCGCGCTACTAACAAGGTATTCAATGAAATGGTTAATTATCCTAGGTTGACTTTTACTTCTTTGCGGATGTAATTAAATACTGCTTTATTTTAACATTGAAGTTTTGAGTTATACCTAATTATTAAAGGCCACAACACGTCACAAAAACGTGAACCGCCATCTTCTGTTTTCGTGAATTCTGTTGATGTTCTTTCTACTCAATAAAGTAATCACATTCTCTTCTATTCCCAGTAACCACTTGCGTCTTAGTGACTTTATCATCTTGTTTGGGTTGAATTGGCGTAAAAAATGTATGAAAACTGGAAGGAACGCCCGAAAAAATACGTAAAAAAATAGAACGGAAAGTAGACGAAGAAATATGAAAATAAGAGAGACAAAAGATGATAGAACCAAGAAAATGAAAGAAAAATGTAGACAAGTAGAAAAAAGACCGAATAAGGTTAAAAGTAAAAGCAGGAAAGATTGAGAAATAAATAAATAAATAAATGAAGAAAGAAAGAAAGAAAGAAAGAAAATAAGTAAGTAGAAACAAAAATAGAGAGAAAAGGAAAGAACAAAGATTATAAATAGAAACAAATAGACGGTAATTGCCTCGTCTTTTCCGTCCTACGATGTCCAGCATTTTTTATGAATTTTACAAGCAGGATTTGCTTCCTAGCATATTAAATTCGTCAGTTTTACTATCAATATTTAAATGACGGTTTTTGTGGCTTCAGTACTGAGGAGCAGCCTGATATTTCTATGGATTATTGACAGAATTGCATCAAGTGTTAAGTTTTACACGTGAAAAGGAAAACAGCGCAATATTTTTGGATGTTCTGGTGCACGTCAGCCTCGTTTTCACTTATTTCTGTATACCCGAGCCGACAATTATTCGACTGTGCATTTGATGGGACTCAATTTTGCCCACTGGAGTGACAGGGTGTAATCGAATTCTATTTTTTCCACAGATGACGTCATTTTCAGTAGTGTGGAATAATATGAATCTGTTTTCGGGGTGCATGATAAAATATGTTTGGCCTTGAAAAATATTGCGTCATCCGTGATTGCATAAGATTTTTACCACGCCCAGAGACTATTGTCTCGACTGTCGATTAGTTGTCATACAGCCATTGTCTGTGATGGACGTTACTCCAAAGAAGCGTACGAAAAGTGTAACGCTGCACGAAAACACTGGCAAGCCTTACCAGTGAGCAAATCAGCATGCAATGTACTGGCTTGGAAACCCTCCTGATTTAAATCCAACAGAGAATATGAAAGACTTCGTTGAATCGGCATACACTGTACTAACATGTGCAGTGTGTTATGTTTCATTGGAAAACTACGAAAAAAATAATAATGGAATTGTTTTGTTTCAATTAATTTGCACAAGGGTGTAACAACAAAAATTGGATTTGATCTAGACATTGGTTCATCGCACCCTAATTATTTATTCTAAAATTCTATAATTAATATTATTTAAATTATTAAATTGAATTTGAAATTATTAAAAAGATCTTTAGTTGGTTGAAAATTGACACTCTCTTGCTTTTGTACAATCTAGTATTCGTGCTAAAATTTTACAATTTATTAAAACCAAATGTTTCGCCAAGGAAAGTGTTCTTTTCTTTGCAATCATCTTGCATTGTGTAGATTTGCTACTTATCTCTCAATCCATAGATATTTTTCACTTCCCAATCTATGTTGAAATACATTCTTCAAGTTGTTTTGTTCCACATCATGTTATTGGTACAGACTGATCAAACCTTACCGCCAACATCTGATTAGTTCTCCAGATATATTCAGCACAGCAATGATATTTGAAAAAAATAATTGAAAATGATATGTATATACAAATGTTCATACTGCTCTCAATGAATCCAGTATGTAAATTTACATATGCTTGTTAATACATCCGGATCTGCAATTGCAAAACAGCTAGTAAATAATCCTATTAGTGCATGGTCTTTTCTCACAGTTGTCAGCAGAAAACATTTAGAACATTTGTAAAGCGCTTAAGACCCTGTATATTAAGTCCAAGCAACCTTCTCTTTGTAAACAGAAGAAATGGTTGTCGGCCTCAAGGAAATCTGTGATTTATATTGCTTATTCTCTAATAGTATTTAGTTCCGGGTATGAAGATAAACTACATCCGTCAGCAAAGTCTCCTATAGGGAGATTGGAAGATTGGAGGACAGTGTACTGACCTCTATCTACTGTTATCCCAGGTCCACTGCACCGGGGTAGTAGCACCTGTTCGGGACCAAGCTATGGGCAAATAGCAGACCACAAAACAAAAACGAAAATCTATGAAAGTAAAGGAATATATTTTTTAGTGAAATACCAGCAATACATTTTTAAATAAAAATATAAACAATAAATATTTATAGTAAAAATCACCAACAAAACAAACATACTAACAAAATGCATCAACTTCATCAAAATCCGTTTAAAATACTACTAAACAACCAATATGAATCTGTCTATATTTCTGAGATGAGGTATTATGTACATTATTTCTATTGTCCTCACCTTTGTCGCCACATGACACAGTGGATAAAGGTTTTAGTTAGATCCAGTGACAGGACCCAAAGAGTGTAAGTTCAATATCCGATTTAGGCAGTGGAGAACTTCCAGAAGGGAATTAACAGGAAATAGCTGATATCTGACATTCATTAGGTATGACACGTGGAACTTGAACGGTCTGCCCCAGTGAGCGAAATAAATGGTTCAGTTCGACATTCCAGCCACCTGAAGAAGGCCAGAGCGTACAACGGCCGAAACGTTGTAATAAATATGGCGACAAAGATGAGGACAATAGTCCGAATGCTATAAATAATGACCCAATATGAAGTGACTCATTCATGAAATTAAGCCATATAATATCCTACAATTTCTTAATTAAAACTGTATTCCAAAATATAATTTCTACAAAACTACAATATAAAACAAACCAAGCAACATCTCTAGTAATTATGTCCACTCAACATATATATGCACAAAAGCTGAGTATCATCTACCATGTAATCAATTGTGAAAGCAGAATAACATATACCATACGTTTATTACTTTAAAGCCACCAAGAAATTAGATTTCGGCATTAAATGACCCATAAGAAGTTGATGTGCCGTTAAACAACTCATATCAATTTATTAATCATATAGTGTTTCTCATTTATCTTTTTTTAAGATAATTAACATATTTTTATTGTTTTCTTGGAAGAGCGAGAAGTGATAACAGGTTTATTGTTGTTACTTTTTAATGTGAATAATATTTTCCTTACCTTGCTTTTTATTCCCCGCTTGTAATATATTTGTGTGTGTAATATATATATATATATATATATATATATATATATATATATATATATATATATATATATATATATATTTAGGTTTAACGCCATAATAAGAGAAGAATAGAAGGAAGGAGCGAGAAAGAAAGAATAAATATCATGGAATAGAAAAAGAAGTGAGGAAGAAATAATAAAGATTATAAAGTAGAAAAGAAAGAGAGAGGGGGGGAAACAGGTATTATAAGTTAGAAAGAAGGAAAAGGGACAAAGAAGGAAAGAAAGGAAGAAAGAAAGAAAGAACGCTATTACAAAGTCGAAATAAGAAAAGAGAAAGGGTGAAATAAAAATAAAGATTTTAAAGTAATAGAAACAAAACAGAGAGAAAAAGAGAGAACAAAGCTTATAAAGGAGACACACAAAAAGAGAAAAAAAGAAACAAAGATTACAAATGAGACACACAAAGAGAGGTAGAAAGAACAAAGATTACTGAGGGGGGTTCAGAACGAGAGGAAGAAAGAACAAGGGTTTTAAAAGAGACACACAAAGAGGTAAAGATTATATACGAGACACAGAAATAGATAAGGAAAGAACAAGGATGATAGAGGAGTCAAATAGAGAAAGAAAGAACAAAGATTATAAGGTCGACACACAAAGAGAGAAAGAAAGATTCTAAAAGAGACAGACAAAGACACTAAGAACGAGCAAAGACTGCAAAAGAGACTCACAAAGAGAAAATGAAAGAAAGAACAAAGATGTCAAAGGACAAACATGAAGAGAGAAAGAAAAGACAAAGATTATAAAGGAGACACACGAAGTGAGAAAGAAAGAACAAAGATTATAAAGGAGATACAGAAAGAGAGAAACAAAGTGCAAAGATTACAAAAGAGACACACAAAGAGAGAAAGAAGAACAATTATAAAGGAGACACACAAAGAGAGAAAGAAAGAACAACGATTATAAAAGAGAGAAAGAGAGAAAGAAGAACAATTATAAAGGAGACACACAAAGAAAGAAAGAAAGAACAAATATTTTGAAAGAGATACACAAAGAGAGAAAGAGAAGACTAAGATTATAAGTATGAAAAATAAAGAGAGATAGAGAGAGTAATAACAATATTTATCGATTAGAAAAAAGGAAAAGGAGAAAGAAAGGACAGAGATTATAAAGGATTACACACGAAGTGAGAAAGAATGAACAAAGTTTTTAAAGGAGAGACAGAAAGAGAGAAAGAATGAACAACGATTATAAAGGAGACGCCCAAAGAGAGAAAGAAAGAACAAAGATTTTAAAAGAGACACTAAAGAGAGAAAGAAAGAACAAAGATTTTAAAGGCGACACACAAAGAGTGAAAGAAAGAACAAACATTCAAAGGAGACACAGAAAGAGAGAAAGAAAGAAGAAAGATTATAAAAGAAAATACGTAAAGAGAAAAAGAGAAGGCAATCATTATATAATATGAAAAAGTAAAGAGAGATAGAAAGATAAAGAGAGTAACAACAATATCTATCGAGTAGAAAAAGAGAAACAAAGAACAATAATGATAGAAATAAGTTAAAAATTAAAAAAAGAAAGAAAGAAAGGTGAATGCTTAGAAATACTGGCAATTAGATTTCATCATTTTACTGTTGAATTATTTAGCTGTTACCCGGAAGATCTATTCTAATAGTTTATTTTCTCGCACCTCTCGCCTGTGGAGCTCCCTACAGGTGTCTTGCTCTCCTGCCACCTAGGATCTTCAAAAAATTTAAATGCAACGCTAAAATCTATCTTCCTGAAAGCCTGTTCTTTTATTGTCCTATTTATTGTCCTTTCTCCTCGATAAATCTTCTCATTCTCTTTCGCTCTCCGTAATCGCCTTGCTTGGGCTGAAATGATTAAAAAGGGCCAAGAAATAAAGTGTAACAAAGGAAAGTGAGAGAAAGAAAGAAAGATCAATGATTATCAAGTTAAAAGAAGGAAAATAGACAGTAGTGATAACGAAGAGAGAGTAAGTCCAAGGATCAGAAAGTAGAAACAAGTTAAAGATTTAAAAAAGAGAGCTAAGGAAAGAAGGAAAGAAAGTACATGCACTAGGAACCTGAGAAAAAAAAGAAAAGAAAAAATAACAGAACTATATGAAGAAAGATTCCAAATAGACGAGAGAGTGAGAGACAGAGAAAGAGAAGAGGGGGAAAGAGTATAAAAAGATACGTACTCCTCTTTTTAGCAGTAGCGAAGATAAGGATGTTCAAATATGGTAAGCAATCATTGCTTATCTACACAATGTCTTTTATTGGAAACTCGTCCATCGTAACTCACTAAAAGAACAAAAAAATAAAATAAATGAAACCTTTATATTCGTCCTCGGGGTAAACAGAATCGTTTGATTTGACGATTAAAAATACATTTTTAAACGAAGAATAATTGACACATTAAATATATTCTCCTATCAAGAAAGGAAAGAGTTGATAAACGAAATATGATCGAATTGGATTTTAGGGAAATCACAGACTAAGAAAATAAAGACAAATTAAATGGAAAATCGACTTCAAAATTCTTCGATTCTTCTTCCATTCATTTTCGATTTGGTATCAAGTTAGACAAAAAGAGGAGTCTATTTGTTGTGGTCATTTAGGGAAAGGCCATTTCCAGAAGAAGAAGAAGAGCATTAAGCAGATGATATAAAAATTGGAATAATTTATAGCCATTGTTATAAAAGAAATTACATTATCAAAAAATTGTAGAGTTGGATTATTTTTCAAACTCATGTCAATTAAGCTGTCTGGAACAGCATCTTAATATTTACCGTTAGTGAAATAAATCGCTTACTGGTAACGAGGTGTTTGTTCTAGCACGCTTACCAATCAGAAATAATTCACATTGGAAATACGACTAAGACATATTCTGCTTATTAGTTCGATTAACCTTTGTTTTTTTAATCAAATGATCTCTGCCGTTGAATTCTTCGGCCTGTTTTAAATAGTGGTTCTTCTTTGTGTTAAGTCTGGAATATTAGAATCTAGAGACAGTAATAAAACCTAAATATGAGGAACTCTAGTAAGAGTTAAACATTGGAAACAAAAGTAAAAGCCACCCATCGGAGAGGTATGAATCCACTCCCTGTTTCCCCAGCTATGGGTTAATTATCAAAACTATTTTCACTAAAGCATTATTATCTTGAAAATATAGTAATTTTTCATTTTAATATAGTCATTATATAATCTATATATATTTTATAAAATTACACACACACACACACACACACACACACACACACACACACACACACACACACATATATATATATATATATATATATATATATATATATATATATATATATATATATATATATATATATATATATATATGAATGCATTACTCGCTGCCGTGCGCCGATGACTTAGGGTAGGATCTCTGATTAGTGCCAAATCGGTCGAGTTTCGATCCTGGCTTGAAGCAATCGGACGTCTAGCCACACTAAAAAAGCTGTGATACAGCGAAACAGTCTGTCTGCGGATGACTATATATATATATATATATATATATATATATATATATATATATATATATATATATATGGAATTTAGATTCTGGCATCCATAGAGCTTGATATGGCGCTAAACAGATATATATATATATATATATATATATATATATATATATGCGTGTGAAATTTAGATTCTGGTATCCATAGAGTTTGATATGCCGCCAAACAGAGACGTATTTTCACTGGGTGCTCCATGCATTTGGCCTTGTGCAACCTCTAAGCTACGCTTAATAAATTTCTATAAGTAAATGAACCATCATTTTTTGACATCAACCGGGAACGAGAGTGCAGTTTATGATCTGTAGGAGTGCTGATATTATTTTATGGAAGGCCTGAATTACTACTTTTTTCATTAGCCAGAGATTTCAGCTTCACGTTCGAGTTCCTTATACAGATTATTGTAGGCATAATAATATATGAGGCTTCATTCTTTTTACACATTAGCACAGGTAAATTGAGAGTAGTTTTATACTATAAAGTTCCTGTATAGAAGATTAATAATATTTCACCCAACTAAAGAAGACCGTTTATAACTTTGTCTAATCGCGTCACTGGTTTCATTAGGAAAACGTCTAGACCTTGTAATAGGATACAAATAGAAAAATCTAACCGTTTAACAAGTCAAAACAACGTATCGGAGAACGTATTACACACACACACACACACACACACACACACACACACACACACACATATATATATATATATAAGCGTGTGTGTGTATACCTGTGTCTGGGGTAGGTGTGTGAAAGTGACGTAGACACTGGAATTCGCTAACTTATCAGTCTGTGAAGATTTATTTCCTTAGTTTATTAACGTGATAGAAATATTTGGCTTTCAGTTGAAATTTACTGCGAATGTTTTTATTTATAAAGTATGTATATTTTTTCATTTGGACTTGGTTTCTCTTGTATTTATTCCTATACATACATAGATGCGGACAAGAATGTCTATAAATAACAACGTTAAACATAAAAATGTCTTTAATAAATACATAGATGCTTAAATACAGATAGACGACTAAACAGCCACATTCACACACGCACATACACAAATCTATCTATCTATCTATCTATCTATCTATCTATCTATCTATCTATCTCTCTCTCTCTCTCTCTCTCTATATATATATATATATATATATATATATATATGTATATAAATAAAAAGAAAGAACAGCAAGATATATAATCTGGTGTTCTTATAGATATTTTTATTTTTACAAAATAGTGCTCAATGTAAATTTACAGAGCATTAATATTATAAATTTAATTTACTCCAAAATTCGCTTGAGGATGAAATGGAACTAATGTCTTTAATTTAATCACAAAATTAAATTCGGGGCTTTTAGCTTCCATTTTTGAAACATGGTTAGAACTGTGTAGCGAAAAAAACATATTTTAAATCAATTAATTTATAAATTGATAAATGCATATGTTATAAATTTGAATAAATATTGTTAGCTCTACACGTTATTGAGCACTCTTTTAAGAATAGTGTTTTTGGTTATTGGAATTTTATTCCGTGTGTACCAATCCAGTAACTGATTACATACATACATACATACATACATATATATATATATATTATATATATATATATATATATATATATATATATATATGTGTGTGTGTGTGTGTGTGTGTGTGAATATGTATGTATGTTCAGAAAGACATTTGGGTTACTATCACACTAAATTTAACATCGAAAAAATAAAAAATAAAAAATTTCATATGTGGAAATCTCTACGCTTTGCCTGATGAAGGTCGCGAGACCGGAAACTCGTGTAGCAAAATTATGGAAAATAAAGCATAATATTTTTTTTTAAATTCCACATTACAACCATAAACGTTTGTAGTTTCTCTCTTCTTTTTAATATGCACACTTTTCTCTCGTTGCAACTACTATCCACTTCCATTTCTATCTATCTATCTATCTATCTATCTATCTATCTATCTATATCTATATATATATATATATATATATATATATATATATATGTATAAAATTGCATATCTTGATAATATTGTGGCATATTTATAATTATATGATGTGCATTTGTATTTCAATTTTAATTATATTCTTGTAGATTTTTGTAGCCGGAGTTATTTAAAATTTGTTGATATGTGTGGTATTACACAAAAAATTCTTAATTACATCTATATATATATATATATATATATATAAATATATAATATATAAAAATCTAATACATATAATAATAATAATATAGTATAAAATTATATACATCATCATCAGTGTTTATAAACACTTTCCAGGGTCAGTATATTCCAAAAGTGTCTCCGAGTCCTTTTGTGGGATGAATTATTATGCGCTCTCCAACGTCTCTCTCACAGGCGTGCTGTGGCAAGACACTCAAGTTATATCCTTCTTGCATATCATACCATATTATAGCCCAAGCTGTTGAGGATTTTCCACGAGCCAGATCAGGCATAAAATGGATTACGGTTGTCATATTTGCGTGGGAGCTGCTCCGTCCACACATTCAGGAGTCTAGAAGCATCTTCTAATCCTGGAGAGTGACAAATTATTACCCACCCTTCAAACTCTCTCTCACTCTCTCTCACAGGTTGTATGTAGCAAGCCTCCATCTTCTCTATCCCTACTTCCATAGAAAGTGCCCGGATGAACTACATTCCTGGGATCCGCCATGCCACTTACATTGTAGCAACCCACCTACATTCCCTCCCTGTTCCACCGATGAGAAGTAAGTTCCACTCAAACAGCTTCTTTCCGTGAACAACTGCTCTTCGACTCCCAAGAGAATGCTTCCCTGATTACTACAATCTTAACTCTTTATTTTTCTCTACTAACCGCATAAAATGTGCTTCTTACTCTCTAACCACCAATATCCTCCTGGCCTTGTATAGGGTGAACCCTACTGTAAAGAAATACCGCTTCGAGTTTCGTCTAAAGAAATTGTCAAGCATTTGCAACCATGCAAGCAGATAGGTATGACAAAGCATTCAATATTATTTTCTTTTTTATCTAGGAAATATACTGTTTCATTATAATTTGCTGAGTTTCTGTAAAGCCTCTTGCACTATTCCGATGTTCTTTTTGAATTCTACATCACGTTTTCAGTTAGGAAAATGAAGAATTGTGTGCCGAGATGACTTGTAAATTAATCTCTCTGGCACCCCAGGAGTGGAACAACTTTTAACTTTTTCTAGGATACAAAATCGAGACCTTCTCCAAGATAAACTAAGGTCAAACTATCGACTGTTATACCGGTTAATTGGGGTAATATGTTTGGCTTGCAATAACAATGGTATAGCGCTTTTAATAAAAAATGTTTGCGTTCATTAAATGATATACCTGGTAAATGATTATGTTTTTTTTCCCTCTGAACTCTTGTCAATATCGTAAAGATCAGGGCCTGTGAAAGGGTTCTGGTGAAAGTCTCCCGGGGAAAGGGTCTCATACCCCTAATCTTTGATGCCCACACTCTACTACATCTCTATTTTTGTAGTATAGTATACATAGAAAATACAAATTTGGTAACCTAATTATGTCCATTAATGGACTATATGCAATATAAGTGATATTTAGCTACCCACCCCCCACCACGAGGGTTACATATGGCACAAGGCCGGCCAAAAATATTCCCTCTTTGAACCCGCATAAACAGGTTCAGAGGCAGTGAACCACCCCGAACGAGACTCTGCCTTTCGGCAGAGCCTCATCCGGGTTCCTCTCAGCTCGAAAGCAGAGAGTTAGACTGTTACTTAGCCAGGAGCCAAGCCGAGTTCCGAGTTGCAATATAAGTGAACAATTGAACAAGAAAAATGAGAAATAAATATGTTTCTAAATACAAAAATAGAGACATGTCATAATAGATTATTCCATCTTAGATAAATGTCATAATAGATCATTTCATCTTAAATAAATCAACAATGTTTTTTCAGCAATTTGAGATTTTTCTTCTTAAAAAGTTGAATCATTTAACACGGATCATTATGGATAAAAATTAGTGAATTTTATATCGTGTCTTTTTTTCCAGATTTAGCATGAGCAAAACAAATTTACGGCTTGAAAAACAAAATAAACGTCAGAATGACGTCAAATCCACGAAAGTGCTTCATCCGTTAATAGTTAACTGTGTTTAGTTTAATTTGAAACGTATATAAATGTAGGTAAATAATAGAAAATCTTGATAAGATAGCAAGGGTCACAAAGCATTGTCCGAGGCCCCCAATAAAGCTTCACCCGCCAGTCGGTGGTTCGAGAGTAGTATGCCCTGTCCCTGGTAGACATTAATGTTGTGATGTCCTCCCTCTAATGAGTCTATTGTGGACTCTTCCATTTAGTATAAAAATAGTGAGATAGTAAGCCTCGAGGGAACAGTCGCACAGACTGTTCATTTCTGTCGAACTCTCTGTCTCGGCAGAGAGCAACTCGGACGAAGTTTTTCTGCGGGGCAAAATTTTCGCCCGGGGAGGTAGACAGGCCATGAACCCGTTTATACGGGTTCAAAGGGAATATTTACGGCCGAGCATACGCGCTCGGAGAAACCTACGTTAAACTCGGCCTTGTGCCACATACATTCCTTGTGGGGGGGGAGGAATGTTAGATATAACAGTACACAGATTCTTCAACTGTCCAACTCTCTGCCTCGGCGGAGAGGAACTCGGATGAGACTTTGCCGCAGGTCAAAATTTCGTCCGGGGAGGTAGATAGGCCCTGAACCCGTCTAGGCGGGTTCAAAGGGAATATTTTTGGCCGAGACTACGGGCTCGGAGAAACCCACGTTAAACTCGGCCTTGTGCCACATACATTCCCTGTGGGGGGACTGTTAAATATAACAGTAGTATAGATTGTTCAACTGTCAAACTCTCCGCTTCCACGGAGAGGAACTCGGACGAAGCTTTGCCCATTGGCAACGTTTCGTCCGGGGAGGTAGACAGTCCCTGAACCCGTTTAGGAGGGTTCAAAGGGAATATTTTTGGCCGAGCCTAAGGGCTCGACGTACCCACAATAAACCGGCCTTGTGCCACATACACCCTCGAGGTGGGCTGTTAAATATTAACAGTAGTATAGATTGAACGCTGGTCAACCTACACACACTCCCAAGTTGTGTAATACTCTTCTGTTCAATAGACAATCTATCTGCAACCTCTTGTTTCGGTATTTCTTAACCATTTACTTAGTCAAAACAATTAAGAATAAACTCCGTGTCTCTATTTTTCTGGTCGTAAAATATGTTTGTTTTCTTTTCATTGGCGTATTCTTCGAGCTTGCTTGTATATATTTTCTTTGATTTAAGATTATTTTCTGAGTGAATAAGATTATGGTTGTGTAGCTGTCTAAGATTTTTCAGAATTATATTTTGGGTCTAAAATTTACCTACATTTTATTTTTTGATTTATTAATTTCGAGTGTGTGTGTGCGTCTGAAATTTTATTTTCTATTTTATTTTTAAAAAGAAAGAATTGTATAGAAAATAGAAAGAAAATGGGAGAAAAAAAACTGCGGGGGTAAAAGTGAATTTACATCGGAGACGAGTTGTTGGAAATGTTACCAGTGTGTCTGAAGTGCTAGAAGCGGCCATGAATTAAATGTCTCAATAAATATGAAAAAATAAAGCATAAAAAAACTATCTAGGTGAGTGTTTCCGAAGGGAAATGATAATAATAAAAAAATAAATAGAATTTTCAATTTTAATGGAATGGAATAAATTAATGTATGGAGCGCCTACTGCGAACCTGAAATGAGAATTTGATAAAATATTGACTTTCGACGTAGGGACAAAAAATCAAATGAAAATAAACAGAATTTCGAATAAACACATTTCATTTACAGAATAGATCGAGACGATAAAATAAATAATCAGGGAATCCAAAAACATTATATACAAAGTCTACTTAAAACGATTACTAAAATAAACATGGTACAGGTTTTCAACTATCAGATCCCTTTCGTAAATCATTCATTATCATTCTTTCTTTAATATCCTTAAATAAAATATTGCTATGGAATGTTTGTAAAGGGGTTTGTCGTTTTCACAGTTTTCAATCTAAGTTTGTCCTTCGAGAATGTTTATATCAGCATAGCTAAATAACTAAGTATATCCTGTTATATATATATATATATATATATATATATATATATATATATATATATATATATATATATATATATATATATATGTATGTGTGTGGCTTGGGCGTGAAGAGATGCATTCATATACTTGCAAAAGCTAATGTTGCAAACTAAACTCACCTGGTTCCGCTGTTAGAATTCGAACTCGGTTTTTCTATTTCATTTTTTACAATAATCAAATAATATAATGAAAACTGGAAAACAGTTGGCCTCTTCATACCACTTAAAAAGGTATTTGTCTCCGCCTGATTTATCTTTACTGTTGTGGATTCCGTGATGAAATCCGGTCTCAAATGAATGACAAACGCAGGAATGAAATATAGCAAATAAATGTATTGACGTAATAATACAATTGATACTACGGTTAGTAGATCCTGAAATGCAGTTAGTAGCAATAATAATATATATATATAGTCTGGGAAATTCAGTATCGATGTAAGACTTCCTTCTCAGTCTACGTGCTCGCAACTGTGACTCCTACAGAGCGGGACCTCCCACTCTTACTGTATCACTTCCGACTCTATCTAATGGGTATTCATCGGCAGTAGTACAAGTAAACACTGGTCGAGTCCACTTGTATGAAAAAAGAGGTGGACCCCATAACATTTACAAAGGTCAGATTTGACATAAAATATAGTGACGCTGCCATATCTGAGCAGAGGCTACTTTATCATCACTTTTAACCTTGGATACAGTTCAAAATGCAGCCCTTTTTTCCCGTCGCTACACTATCGCTATTTCCATGGCAAATGATCAGAACAACTCGGTTCTTCAGTTCCACCGGTTCAGATTTACACCTATGGCACACCATATCAGCTCCATGAAGATGATTCACATATATTTTAAGTTTTAAGTTTCGTTCAGACAACTTCACAACGAGTTCCTGTTCGAATGCTTCCACGAATACTCCAATTTTAATCTCTTCGAAATGGCGTGTCAATTGATATCTATCTTCCGTATAGTCTTTACTTTTTAAAAATCTTAACTACATATGACAGCCTTCATTCAGAAACCTTCCTTAAGTGGCTCTTGTGACATGCATAACCAAATTGTTGTGCCCTAGGAAGGGTTACTGAATGAGGAATAACCAAAACGGAGGTTGGAAATTGAATAGTAATCTTTATAACATCAACAAAATACAATACTCGCCAGCGGTGGAAAGTAGGTAAACAACTGCAAGTGTTGGACTACTTAGACACCATACTACCTCACACTTACAATAGTGTCAAATGTATTTATGAGGATTGGGTCATAGCTATTAGTGTTCATAGGTATTTTATATAATAGATAGATAGATATAGAATGAATTGGATTATGGAAAGAAATAGGTATGTATGGGATTAGATAGATAGATAGGTAGATAGATAGATAGATAGATAGATAGATAGTGCTGTAACCTAGGAATGGTTAGTGAATGAGGAAGAACCAAAACGGAGGTTGGAAATGAAATGGTAATCTTTATAGCATCAACAAAATACAATACTCGCCAGCCGCGTGAAGTAGGTAAACCACTGCTTGTGGTGGACTACTTAGAATAGTGTCCAACGAATCTATGAGGTTTGGGACATACCTATAATGTTCATAGGTACGGTATATAGCAAAATTTTAATAAACGAGGATCTTCATATTATTTTAATGTGAATTACTGTATTTCGAACGGGGTTACAAATGGTGATTCTCTCCCTTTTGTTGAGATACATAAGAGAATCATGTAATATAGCCGGTGAATGACGTCAGGAGATAGATTGTCGAACGGAAGTTGTGATGTAAAGCCCAGAGAAGAAAGCCGACCCTAGCCTACAGCGTTAGGTCTTTCAGGAAAAACCACATGGCCTAACCTGGTTCGTAGAGAAATCGCTGTAATTCTACCTTTTACTTCGGGAAATATTACAAGTAAAGTTCCCCCTTCTTACACACCGTTTGTTGTTGCATATACTGTAATTTCCCTCTGTGGGACACGTATATATATATATATATATATATATATATATATATATATATATATATATATATATATATATATATATATATATATATATGTGTGTGTGTGTGTGTGTGTGTGTATGTGTGTGTGTGTGTATACACAATACAAAACAGACGACATGCGTTGAATGGATGTCAAAATTCGTTGAAAATACGCCCTAACCTCCCTAAATTTAACCTCTTTTTCGAACGAAACTCTTAATTGATACAATAATAGTTTATAAAAATGAACACGCAACCGCCCCTTGTCTGAATGATTGGATTTCTCTGTATCCTTGGATACAAAAAATTATGAATTATATGTGCGTTTAAAACTCAGTAAATTTAAAAATAAGTTATTCCAAAATTGGCTTGAAAATGAAACAGAACTAATTCTTTTAATTTAATTATATAATTAAATTTGAAGTTTTTAGCTTAGGTTTTTGAAAACATGGTAACTACTGTATAGGGAAGAAACTATATTTTAAATCAGTTAATTTATAATATTTATGCTCTGTAAATTTACATTGCGCTCTGTTTTGTAAAAATAAAAATATCAATAAGAACACCGGATTATATATCTTACTGTTCTTTCTTTTTATTATAATATATATATATATATATATATTGAACAATAAAAAAATTAAAATCTTCAGGCACACTGGGTTGTAGATTAATATTCTTTCGTTTTTTTTTTATTATTATTTCATTTAGATTCCTCGACTAGTTACGGCCAAAATGGCTATCATCGGGAGAAGAAATATTTCTGCTTACTGGTAGCAGTAAACTACAGAAATGAATGTCTTGCTGGAGAAAATGAACTTTTGTGTGTAGTTTTCATTTGTTTTTTTATTTTTTTATCTTTTTAACATGAATCTTTTAACATTCCTTGTGTTGGTCAAACAGTCTCTTTTAAGCTGTTATATGAGATAAGAGCTGGATAGATACATGTTGCTCTGAATTCTTTGGTCAGTTTGGCAGTTTTATTGGACCTGGTGAGGGGATGTGTCTCTGTTTAGTGTTTGTGTGTGTGTTATTTGGTTCTTAGGGAATGAGTAAGTATGATGTGTGTAAGAGTGTATATTCGTGTGGGTGTGTGTATAAGTGTGAGGCCTCAACACCTACGTAAGCATGTCTGTCTTGTGTTGATGAGAAATGTGGGTAGGTTTTGATTTGTAAAGTTATATATTAGTACTATCTATAGTGTTAAATTTATGGTTTAGCCCGGCTGGATAGTGTGTTTTTAGACGTTGTATCCACTTATTTTCATGGAACTCTAAAATCTTTCTAATGTTATCTGCTCTGATCTTTTCTATTCTCTCAATTATAGTGAATTTGGTATGGGTTTTGAAATCCTATTTTTCCAAGTGGAAATGTTGTTCTACAGGTAATTATTTTTCATGGGGAGTTGACTTTATATATATATATATATAATTTTGTATACGGCGTAGCATTATAAAGCTCTCCAAGAAGGAAACATATTTATTATTCCTTTTCCCTTCAGTTATTCCGTCCTTCCCGTGAACTACATCATATCATGGATATAACAACACCCATGACGAGAGGGAGGTATTTGGTTACAGAGACATAATTGTGGGTGAAAGAGAATTGGGATATAGTATTTCTGGTATTATTCGAGTGTAGTACGCACTGGCCTTGGTAGAGATTAAGATTAAGAATAAACTTAGTGCCTCTATTTTTCTGGTCGTAAAATATGTTTGCTGTCTTCTCATTGGCGCATTTTTCGAGCTCACTTGTATCTATTTTTCTTTTATTTAATGTTATTTTCTGATTTCGCAACCCAGATAAGATCTTCATTGCTAAGACCGAACATTCCCCGTAAACTAGGACAACTCGCCCTTATTCACTTTGTATTCATTTGGTAAGGAAGATGTTCAACTCAGAAAGCTTCTTCAACCAGAGCTATCACTTTGTGAATCAAACTCCCGAGAGAATGGCTCCCCGACCATTTGATATAATCACTAAATAGATTTGAATGCAAGCTTAATCAGGCGCCATGATTTAAACACCTAAACCTACTAAATTTCATCGCAGACCCCAAGTGGAAATCCTACTTAAGATCTATCGCTAAAGATATTGGAAAAATCGTCGACTACTTTACTATGTCAGAAAAGTACCTGACACCTCTTGTAATGCAGGCGTTAGATTATTCAAATAAATATGTTGATATATGTGTGCTGGAGCTATCAAGTCTTCATTTCTCAACCTTGACACTGTTCAAAATCATGGGGCATTACTTATTTCTGACCTTACTGCCAATTCCCCACAGACACAATCCCACAAGTCTATCGCAACTTCCAAATAGAATATTCAGACAGGCTCTTTTATTTAATGTAACCAGTTGAAAACATCACAGCCAAGATCCATCTTGCTACGTTTGCATGTTTGGATCAATCGCATTCTCTACATATTCCTTTGGTAAGGGCAATGCACTCCAAAAACTTTTACCCCCCAAAACGCTATTTTATGAAACAGATTCCCCCGTGAATGTTTCCCTAAGCACTTCTTCAATTCTAGGTTCATTTACTATCTATATGCAATAACCCCCTAAACTTCACTTTCTAATTTCACCTCTCACATTCATATCACTCAATAACTCTCTACAATTTTAACCTCTCCTGAACAATTTTAACCCTTCGGCCTGAGCTCCTCAGTCAAAATTCGCAAGTAATACGTATGTGATATTTCACGGTCGATATAAAAATAGTTACAAGTGTTTACCCACCATTCAACCCATAGCTGAGTATTAAGTCATTTTTCATTACCACCATTCAACCTGTAGCTGAGTATTAAGTCATTTTTCATTACTACCATTAAACCGGTAGCTGAGTATCAAGTCATTTTTCATTACCACCATTCAACCGGTAGCTGAGTATTAAGTCATTTTTCATTACCACTATTTAACCCATAGCTGGGCATTACGTCATTTTTTCTACCACTGGTAAAGCGGTGGTCATAGCTCAAACGGTTAATGAATGTGTAATTTTGAATTCTGTATTCAAAAAGACGTTAATTTAGACATATTAGCATTTCAAAAGTTAAATTTAACAAGTGTCGGCCACTTAGTTGTCTGTCAGTTATACATATGGAAAGAAGAAACTTCTGTCTGCTATCAGCATGGCTGATGCGTGCCTCCAAGAGAGAAACACATTGCGCTTTCTTGGCCTCACGTTTTCAACTGATTTGAAGTAGAGCAAGTTCATCGCGTCAATAGCTGCATCTACTGCAAGGAAGG